ATTCATTTGCTTTTCTTAATTATATTTAGACAGACATTATGTACATTAATACGCACACACACCCATATGAACACACATATCTAAACATATACATATATATGAATACATGTATGAACATGAATCGGAAAACACCCCTCCGTGTTGATACTATGGTAGAAAAACCAACAATGCAAAATCTAGAATTATTTAAAGTGAGACTACAGTTTCGAAATCCACCTGGATTCCATCCTGATGACTTGAGGATGGAATCCAGATGGATTTCGAAACTGTAGTCTCACTTCATAGTTATATGTCATGTTATTTTTAAAGCTAATCATTGATAAAGGGTGACATAAGCCTGGTTTATCTGTTCCGTATATGCCTCCGCTTCCCGACTGGAAGTTCAATCACTATGATTATAAGAAGACGACATGGTGAGCCAGTACTAAGATCATTCAGTGAACATATATACATATGTGCTATATATGAATAAAAACCTATATATGTGTGTTTTATATGTCTGTAGGTATATATATGTATGTAAATATGTATTTATTTATATATCTATATCTATTTATATATATTTTTGTATGTATACTATATATATATATGCATATCTTAATACGCACATACATATGTGTATGTATGTAAGTATGTATGTATTATATATATGTATATTTATATACATATATATATATATATATATATATATATATATATATATATATATATATATATATAAATGAATATGTATATACACATTGTGTGCATAATACTTTTACCATTAGAAAGAAAGGCTGAAGAGAAGGAGAGACGCGGGTAAGGAACAAGGAGGAGAGAGAATTACGAAGGAAGAGGGAGGGTAGTCAAGGAGCAGTGGGAAGGGGAGAAGGGGGGGAGGGGACAAATTTAGGAGAAGCTTGGGAGACTCAGACCGGTTATAAAAGCTGTTGCGATGAAGAAGTGCGTCAGTTCGTCTTAAATTCTCACAGACACAACAACCGCCGGCAATATGATGGGTCTTCGCACATTCGTAAGTTTTTCTTCCCTTATATTGTGTAATATATGTGGCTGGAACTTTGCTCAGTGTACTTAATAAGCACAGTCGTTTTCTTTTGAATCATATAGAAATACATCTACGGCCTTCCAAATAGGGCCCGGCCGGTGGGGCACAAAAAGCCGTCAGCCATGCGTCGGTGAACAGTCAGTTTCGAATCTTATATCTTTTGTTTCGCTTCTCGTGCGGCGTCAGCAATTCTTACACGTATGTATTTATCTGGAGCTAAATTTTAACATTATACTTTGACATTACCTACTGGAATTCGTCAAGGGAAGGATGAAAGTATCTTACAATAACAAATTCTTGTTTATGACGGGAAAAAGAGAATCTAAAAGTCACCATACAATTCTTTGCATGTTTTAATGCCCGAGTCTCTATCTCGAAAAATAAACGAACGCGACGTGTTTGATCAGTATGTATAGGGCGTGGTCCCCGGTGCCTGCGCAGGGGCCTCCAAAGTTTTCCTGTTTGCGCCACCTGCTAAGACTTCAGGCACAGCAAAGATTTCACGTTTTTTTATGTTTATTGGAGCCCTAGCAATCGAGAAAACGCATTGTAGTAATAATATAGCCACATTTGAATAAATATAGACGACTGAAGAATATGAATACTAAATATACTGACACTACTTTGGCCAGTATATTCTTCCTTTGTGCTACTTATAGCACTGATTCCGAGTCACTCGATTAGTCAGTTAATCTCGTTCACTCACAGTTGGTGGACAGTGAAACACTTACTTTCCACCAACAGTTATTATAATGAATAAGAGATTATAAAAGGGTTATCCTTGCAACCAAAATAATATCAACCAAAATAATATCCTGCAAAGAATGTATACTCGTAGTTAATAATCGAATGCTGCTGGGCGCCGGCGCGCTCCAGCTTATATATGGGGAAATTGCTGAAGTCAGCAGTCTGTCTAGCCTCGAGGCAGGCCCTTGGGCACATGCCCCAGTACTCATTACTGCGGTGAATACTTAACCATAAATGAGATAGAACCTATATAATATATATATATATTATATGTACTTATACACAACAATAATATTATGTACATGAGTGAAATACAAGTATACATGAGTAAATAATACATGAGTAAATAATACATGAGTAAATAATACATGAGTAAATACTATACATTACTTCCAAATACTTGACTCCCCATGACACTCCCCCGGCTAATTCTCTGAACGTCCCGTTCAGTAATATAGTGATGGGACATATTATTAGATAAATCATGGGAGTAGTGACCATGGGAGCAATACTTCAACTTTACGCACAAGGCTACAGGTATGATAAATGCCAAAATGGCTACGACAGATGATATTGACGTTAACCATGATACATCTCTAATACTGTGATCGCCCACCCGACCGGAGAGATCACCGTATTTATTCAGATTGGTCTCGAGTACCTCTTGGGCCTCCATTAATCTACTTTGATTCTTGATCAAAATGTCTTGCATATCATAAATTGAACCTGTTCTGTTATGAAGCTTAAACTCCTGTAGAATTGTGGTAATACCAAAATGTGACATAGGTGATTTCAGTGTTTGTGATAAAGTGTATTGTAAGTCACCTATGTCTAGCTGTTTGATGTCCAGGACGTCATCTGGATATGAAATGACTCGTGGTGATTTCAAATAAACATCATCTACTCGAAGGGTGCATGACGCTGGTATGGATAATACTCCTGTACCATTGACTCTATGAGAAGATTTATCCCCGCAGGTTAGTCTAGCGCTATCGCGACTTATCAAATTCAAAATGCAACTCTCCTCAGGGTCACGAATTACTAGATTAATTACCTGGCAAATATACTCTTTGATGGTGCGTCGACAGCCTTCGAGTTGTCCTGTCTCAAACTCAATTATTGTACTCGTGTTCCCCTCGGGAACAGCGAAGTGTCGTGGAGTGTTTATCAGAAAGAAGTGCCCATCCACTGGAATGGGTGTAGGGTAAGGTGTGTATATAATCCATCTATGATGTGTAGGAATGTGTACTAAAACCTTAAAAACAATAACATCCTTACACCTATACAACTGATTGACCTCCATAAAGGCTGGTAGGTTACTACTAGCGAATTTAGTCTTGTTTCTGATTTCTTCCACGACGTCGTCTGTGACGAGTTGTCGGGAAACTCTACCCTGAACTGCATCCTCCACTATCCTACTCAACGGATCAACTTCCCCCAGTAATTCTGTTACTCTACCTTCTAACAAATTTAAACTATTACTTAATAGCAAGAAATGGTGTAATTCTTCAAACTCTGCTTCTAATAACACACTAAGTTCACTAATCTTTGATTCAATATCACCAACTCTCCTGGAGGTGGCTTGGAAAGATGTAAGCAGGCCGGCTACGATGCTGGCTTGCGACTTCTGGAGATGTATGACCTCCTTAACACTAGTATCTAAATTCCGGACTAACCGCTCCCCATTTTCATCCATGACACCGAACATGTCGTGCATGACCAATCCCATGAACGAAAATACGGCCCGGGATACTCGTCCAGTATGACACCCTTGATAAAGTTCAATATTTTCCAACAGTTCAGCGATGTCCTCTCTGACCTTGTCGAGGACACCTTGTGCCCCCCTCACTTGAGCAAGAAGTCCTTCCTCGATGGCGCGAATGAACTTCCTTTCCATGGGATGATTCAAGGGTTCTTGGTTCCTGGGTCCCTTGCTCACGATCTTCTCTAGTCTATCCAACGTGTAGGGTGCCAGGTGTTGCACTCTTATGAGGTGCCAATTAACTTCCGTCAGAAGGAGACTTCTGTCCTCATTCAGGGTAATGACACCGGGGCTCAGTAGGGGATCCCTGCCTGGGTCCGGCATCTCCATCATCTCCACTGTACATAGCAGTACACACAGTCTGTTGAATAGTCGAGTATGAATATAAAACCAAATGGATCATTAAAAGATAAAGGTGCAGAAGATAGAAGTGTACTTGTTTGGTTGATTAGTTCTTGACTCTCAACTCTACATCGACCATTAGTGACGTTGACATGCAATACATTTATTATAATCTACCTTCATGAAGTGATTTATAATAACCAGCACCGTATGTACGCCCCCGGGTCACACGTCTCGGTTGTTCCACATTCACATGCAAGTCTACATGCTCGGCAGGAATATTCTGCACATTCATCTCCACATCATGAACACTCTGACTCTCGGAATCATCTGTTTCTTCCTCACTCATACTCTCATCACCCTCCATTAGGCTCAGGCGGGACAAAGACAGTATTATTGGACAATTTACTAACATTGCATGTTTGTGTTTGCGAAGTGTCGTGTCCATCGCTACTCATTAAGTCAGAATCATTGTTACCATTAAGAACATTATTCAATGCGAAACTATGACATTCACAACTATATCATCATCTCGATCGGTCTGTAACTCGTCTACCTCATCACCCCCGTCCTTAGAGTCATCTTTAGAAGTTCTCATAAGACTTGCGTTCTGTAGGGTTCTGAAGGGTCTTCTGGCGTCGGGTACCACTTCGCGGGATACAGTAGCTTCCGGTACGATCTTCAAGTTCTCGAGATGTATTCTTGTTCTTTTCTTGGTCTCCAACTCATCTAACTGATAAACATTGTTCTTAACCTTGGTTGTTTACAGTAGACACGTTGTTTTACTTTTAGCTCTGTCACCTTGGCTGTCCTCCTTGTTGTTGTTCACGTTGGTCTGCAGCCGCTTCGTGATTATCTCTTACTGTCTGATAGATCCTATGGGTTGCAGCGGCCCTTTCGTCTAGATTATATCTCGACGATAAGTTCATCATGGCAGCATGCGGAATAATGGGGTCAGATCCATACACCACATAGTATGGGGTGTCATCAATAGAGATATTATATGCACTGTTGAGCGCAAGCTGTGTTGTCTACAGGTGATAGTTCATCAATGATTCCTCTCAAAATAGCAATGAGCTGTTTATTATGATTCTCTACCAACCCATTGCTTGCAGGGTGATAGATTGTGACCATTTTATGAGAGAATCCTCCCAATTCTGCTAGTCTCTTCAGGATCTTGTTCCTGAATTCTGATCCTTGGTCGCTGATAATTACTTCTGGTGGACCACAATTACATATTAATTCATTCCAGATTGCAGTTGCGACTTCCTTGGCTTCCTTGTTCTTCAAGGGGGTCACGATGGTATAGCGTGTGAGGTAGTCCACGCACGTCAAGATATACCTGTTACCTTCCTCAGTGAGGGGTAATGGGCCAATCAAATCTACCGCTATGGACTGGAACTTGCGGTCGGGTACCGGATACCTTCCGAGAGGACACAAAGGATGCATTTTTCCCTTGAATCGCTGACAGACAAGGCAGGAGGCGACATATTGACGGACATCACGCTTCATATTCATCCACGCAAACAGTCTCTTCATCTTGAACAATGTTCGTTGTACTGCCCCATGTTCTGCCAGGGGGCTGCTGTGGGTCATATGTAGCACCTTGTTAACTAACTGTCGCGGTACCACGATGACTTCTTCGATTCCTCTGAGGGATGCGTCTTTGGCCACTTGCTTCTTGTATAGGATATTATTATCGAGGAAATAATCACCTATATCTCTCTTTAATTTGGGGTCCACCTTCAGCAGATCGCTGGGTTCATGGCCCTTTAGATAACTGACAATGGGGCCATAGAGGGATCTACGTCGAACTTGTTGCTGGCGTATGTTGTGTTGGTGATGTTGAAGTTTATACGGTGTGGTGACCAGCCCGCGGCAAGCTTCGGTGCTCCGTAGGACCTGACACACACCGTTTGGCGAGTTAGGTTCCAGTCACCACCACCAATCACCGCTTACCTCTCCGGACCTGACCAGGGAGTAAACATCGTGCCTGGCCCATTTAAGCAGCGGAGTCCTAAGCGACAGACACACTCATCGGCTTGACTCTGACTGTGACACACCTCTGTAACTCCAGCAATAAAGAGTTGAATTGACTACCGTGTGTTTACCTAAA